CGATCCTGACTATGTGACTTGATGAGGACGAGGGTGGTGACGGCGACGAGGAGGAGGGCGACGTTGCCGTAGTGGACGAGCGAGTACTGCTCGAGGCACGAGGGTCAGTGGGGGAGGGACATCTCCGGCAGAGGGGGGGGGGGGGGGGGGGGCGCCCGATCGAGGGGGGGACAAAAACCACGTAGGGGAGGTAGGGGATGACCCCCACGAGCGAACAAAGGAAGGGTGCATTGCCCCAAAGGGTCAGGGGCCGCGAGGTGGGCGAGGAGGAAGAAGAGGGGGAGGGAGCGCACCTTCGTACTTGCGGGGCTACTTTTGGAGGCTGTTGGGGGGAGCATTCGGGTCAGTTGGAGGGCACCGCAGAGTCGCAGAGAGTCGAGTTGCCCGCTGGGCGTTTTGCTTGAGGCGTTCCTTGAAGCTGAGGAGGTCCTTGAACGACTAGCGGGTCGCTGGAGGGTGAAAGGGACGCGCCCGCCTCATCGTGGGCGTCGACTGTCGCGCTCTGGCCAGCACTGGCACTTGAGCGGGTAGTGGGGGAGAGAGAGACGAGCGAGGTGCCGTCGGCTTCCCCGCGTCGTTCGCTGCTTTCGCCCTCACACAGAGCACAGCCCAGCCCGGCGAGCTGTTGCGAGCAGCAGCCACACCCACCTACCCGCAAGCCATCCGCTGGCCGCGCCTCGTTGCCCCCTCGTCGTCGCCCCCTCTCATCACTCGACGAATCGACCCCGGCCCTCACCTCGTCGGCACACGCCCGCAAGCAGCAGCCTGCGTTGATCAAGCTGTCTGCGTAGGGCCACTCGAGCCCTCCCTCGAGCACGCGGCACCATGGGTCCGTCGCCGACCTTCTCCCTCCCAGCCCCTCCCGCTCACCTTGCTCCTCTCTCGCAACCCAACAGAGCGATGGACCGCCCTCCTCCCCGACCGCACCGGTCCAGCACCAGCCTCGTCCTCGACCTCGCGCCTCGCCTTCACCCCCAAACCAAAACTCGTCGGCCGCCTCCCCGAGGACGCCTGGATCGCAACCTGCCACTTCCTCCCCGTGCCGGACCTCCCGCAGCTCGCCCTGTGCTGCCGCAAACTCGCCCGCATCGTCGCCGACGACCACGTGTGGCACACCAAGCTCGCCTGGCTCGACTACCGCGGGCCGGGCGAGGTCGACTGGCGCCGCGCATCGTCCTCGTCGGTCAACGGCGCCGACCACGACGGCCCGAGGTCGTCGTCCCGCGACCCGCCGACGCGCCAGCAGGACGCACGGTACCGCGACTCGGTCGCGCCTGCCGCTGTCCCGTACCAGGACGATGACGACGTCGACGACGACGATGACGAGTTTGGCGACTTCTTCGCGGGCGAGGACGACGCGGCCACGGCGGCGGCGGCGGCAGCAGCGGCAGGGTCGCGCCGAGAAGGAGGAGGAGCAGGGCAACGCGGCGGCGACGACGGCTTTGGCGAGTTCCAGGACGGCGACGACCCATTCGGGCTCGCCGACGACTTTGGCGACGTCGCGCTCGAGGGCGCACCGGCGGTCGAGCCTCGACGACCAGATCCGCACGCGCCGGCCGACCTCCTCGCGTTCGACGACGAGGACGAGGCGCCGGCCACGGCGGGCCGGCCACGGCGTCCGACCATCTCGACCAAGCTCACGTTCGAGACGCCCGCGCCGTTCCTCGCCGGCAACGACGCCCCGCCGGTCAGCGCTCGTCCAGGCGGCTTCGCGTTCAACCTCCCCAACGCGACGCCGACCTCTGCCCTGTTCTCGGCCTCGCCGCGGTCCGAGCCCCTCGTCGACGTCTTCAAGGCGTACCACGCCCTCCTCCTCCCGTACTACGCCTCTCTCAAGACGCACACGACGTCGTCGCTCGTCTTCACGGCGACGGCGCCCGCCCTGAGCCCGATGCAGCGCGCGCGCCTCCTCGCGACCCTCGCGCGCTTCTGCCACGCGCTCGTCGCCCCGACGCGCTCGCTCCCGCAGCGCCTCGGCACCCTGCGCAACGTCCAGTCGGCCATGGACTTTTTCGAGTCGACCTTGCTCGCCGAGTTTGAGCGCGCCGACGCCGCTGCGCCGGCCGACAGGGACGAGGACGCGATGAGGGACCGCGCGAGCGTCATGTGGGAGGTCAACCAGAGCCAGACGGTCGCCCAGGTGTTTGTTCAGAAGCGCGAGACGCTCTTTGGCGCCGGGCACGACCCTTTGCGCAACCTCACGTGCGTCCCCTTCTCTCTCTCTCGCCCTGCACGAGGTCGCCCGGACTGACCTTCATCCTCTCCCCGCCCGCAGCAAGATCGAGACGCCGTCGGGCGGCGAGGCGGACGGCATCGACTTTTCGGCCATGGACCTGTTCATGTCGTCGGTCCTCGACATCCTCCGGCGCGAGGGCTCGCTCATCGCGCGCGTCTTCCCGCCTCAAGCCGACGTCCTCCTCTACTTCCTCGAGCGCATCGCCAACGACGTCGTGTCGGACTACATCACGACGCTCCTCTCGGCGGCGCAGCCGCTGCAGAACCCGCTCTTCCTCCTCGCGACGGCGGCCACGTTCGGCCAGGTGTACCGCCTCGTCGACTGCGTGCTCGACATCGAGCCGCGCAACGCGGCCGGGCTCGTCACCAAGGAGCGCGCCGAGGACATCGTCTTCAGGGTGTTTGAGCCCCTCATGGACGACTACCTCGCCGAGGAGGGCGAGTGGATCCGCGAGGTGCTCGAGGGCGTGTGCGACGAGTGGGACCGCAAGGTACGTCGCGCCTTGTCCATCCTCCTCTTCTCTCGTGCCTCTCCTCCCCCCTCTCTCGTCTCTCACGCACGCACGACACTGACCCGCTCTCTGAGCCTCACCAGACGGCATCCGCGCTCGCCCTCTCGGACCCGACCTTCCTCGCGTCGCACAACCCGGCCCAGGTCAAGAAGAACGTGCTCGCCGGCTTTACAAAAGTCCTCCTCCTCCCCGTCACCATCATCCCCAAGACGGCCATGTTTGGCGTCAACGCCATCACGTACGGCGGCACGGCCGTCATCGACACGTTTGCGCACCTCGGGACTCAGCTGTCGGGCGCGGCGGGCGGCGGCAGCGGCGGCGGCGGTGGGGGAGGAGGAGGAGGGAGCGGGTCTCGGACGCCCTCGGCGGCGACGAGGACGGTTTCGGCGACGGCGACGGCGGCAGCGGCGGGCGAGTCGTCGGCGGCCGCGTGGGGTGGCGAGGCGGCGAGCGCGCCGCGCCTCTCGGTCGACGCGAGCGGCGTCATCTCGGTTTCGGACGGCTCCACCACCACCGCCGCAGCCGGTGCCGCATCGTCGTCGTCGTCGTCGCTCGAGGCGGCAGCAGAACCGAGTGCGCCTCGAGCGCCCGGGCGCTTCGACCGCCTGCAGCTCCTCCTGTCGCTCGACACGGCGCTCCAGCTCCTCCAGGCCGACCGCGACTCGCTCAAGCGCATCCAGACGTTCCTGCGCTTCCCGGGCACGTACGGCCGCAAGGTGCACGACGCGATCGAGGAGGTCTTTATCGTCCTGCTCCAGGTCCTCAACGAGAAGCACGTCGGCCCGGCGTTCGACAAGGCGCGGCGGCAGATGGAGACGTACAAGCCCGAGGAGCACGACGGCGACACGAGCGGCGGCGGGAGCGTCGCGCCGCTCGTCCAGTTCTTCGAGCTCGTCCACATCGGCGACACGATCCAGCAGATGGTCGACGTCTACTACGAGAAGGAGATGGTGCGTCCCTCTCTCTCTCTCTCTCTCTCTCTCTCTCTCTCTCTCTCTCTCTCTCTCTCTCTCTCTCTCTCTCTTTCTTGTCGTGGTCCGAGCCGCGACGACTGACTGGCGAGCGGCACGTGCGCAGGCGGCCTACATCGACCGGCGCGACTTTCTCAACGTCGTCGTGCGCGAGAAGAAGCGGTTCGAGGCCTCGCTCGACGACGCCGTCGCCCAAGGGCTCAACGCGGCCGTCAACATCCTCATGTCGCAGGTCGAGCACCTCGTCACGTCGCGCCAAGGCCTGCGCGACTTTACGCCCGACGACGGCGACGACTTTGACCTGTCGCCGACGAGGGCGTGTCGAGATGCCGTCGCCGTCCTGAGGCAGCACTGCGACATGCTCAAGGGCAGCACCGACAAGCACATCCTCGAGGTCTTCAACCAGGAGGTCGGCATCCGGCTTTTCGGGTGCGCCCGCCTCTCTCTTTCCCTCTCTCTCTCTCTCTCTCGCTCTCTGTCTCTCTTCGAGTGCGGCGCCGCTCACGCTGTCCCTCTGCACGCACGTAGCATTCTCCTCAAGCACCTCAAGCGCCAGATCGTGTCGACGTCGGGCGGCCTGCAGCTCATCGCCGACCTGAACGCGTACCACGCCTTTGTCACGTCGCTCCGCCAGCCGCCCGTCACGGCCTACTTCACGAGCCTCAAGATGGTCGGCGAGATCTACCTCGTCGACTCGCCCAAGGACCTCGGCGCGCTCGTGAGGGACACGAGCCGGTACGAGGGCGTGCTGAGCCCGGAGGACCTGTACGAGCTCGGTACGTCGGCCTGTCCCTCTCCCTCGTTCCTTCCTCGTGCTCGGCAAAAGAGGATCGTCCTGACCATTCTCCTCGCCCGCCTCGCGCAGTGCAACGTCGCGCCGACTGGAAGCGCATCGAGCGCGACGTCGACAAGGCGCTGTTCGGGTTCAAGGTCGCCGACGACTGCGTCGTGTCGTGACGTCCTCTCCCTCCTCTCTCTCCCTCTCTGTATCATCAGCAGTACCCTCCCCCGCAGTCGTTCCCATTTCGTTAGCGGTATCGAGCATGGCAACGAGTTCATCGTCTTCAGCGGTCCGCCTCGAGGCCGACGAGGAGAGTACGTCTCGGCAAGCGCTCGCTCGGGATCTCTCCTCGGTCCGTTCTGAGCAGGTCATGAGAGAGCAAGCCCCTGTCGAGCTACACTGCGAGAGCTAGTCGCTCGAAGGAGCGACCTTCTCAAGCTGAACTGGGTCGAGTCGAAGTCTCGCGGCTTGACCGGTTGACCTTCTCAAACTGAGCTTCGCCCCGAGAATGGCTCGACGACTCTTCTTTTTGGCGCGCGCAGCTCCAGAGAGCGCTTCAGTCGTACATGTTCGGCGCGTGGATCGGCTTCGCAGGCTAGGTCGGCCACGGAGCGGGACGCGAGAGGCTCGTGCACGGCCACCTTTCCTCACTCACGACTCGCGCGGCGCGCTCTCGCCGCCTCTCGCATCTCTCGCAGTTTCTCGCGAAAGGAGGAGAAGGAGAGCGCTTTGACAGTACACCGGTGTGACAAAAAGAGAGAACGGCGGGCAAAAAGGGGAGCGACTCCTGCAAATTCGGCCTCAGGCCTTCTCCTGACTCGCCGTTTCGGCCGACTCGCCATTCTCGGCGGCACCAGAGCCGTCGATGGGGACGTGGGCGTTGAGAGGCGCGTCTGCGACGAGGCAAGACGAGTGAGTTGGGGCCGGTTCAGGGACGAGGGGAGAAAGAAGAGGACGCACCGACCACCCAGTTCATGCGCTCCCTCGGGTTGACGAGGAACGCCGAGCCGATGGCGGCGATGATGCAGCCCGGGAGAAAGACGAACCAGACGATCTTGTAGCCGTGCACCTCGGTCTCCTTGAGCGCGGCCGAGGCGGCGCCGAGGACCTGACCCGTCGCGCCCGGGATGGTCGCGATGCCCTGGCCGGTCGTGAGGCCGACGATGAGGGCGCCGATGTTCGACGGGTCGAAGCCGAGGGGCACGACGGCCTTGACTGTCGGCGGCGAGAGCGAGACGTCAGTGGCAGGTTCGAGACGCGACAATGGGCGACGCGAGGGAGCGACGGTCGACGAGCGACGACGGGGCGACGCGAGAATGAGGAACGGGTGCGACGCACGAATGTTGGCCGGGATCTGGTCGTTCGTGAGGGCGCCGTAGATGGCTGTGGGCGACAGAGAGGGGATCGAGAGGTGAGCTTGGCCGAGCGCCTCGAGCGCACGAGGAAAGAGAGAGAGAGACGGACCCGAGGCAATGGCGTAGCCAACCGAGCCGCCGAGGGTGCGGACCGAGATGACGAGGGCCGACGCGACGCCGATGAAGAGGGGAGGTGTCGAGAGCTGAACGACCGACATGAGGAGGATAAGGGGCGCGCAGAACCCGAGACCGGCGACGCCGTTCCAGGCAACGCCGGCCGCCGAGTTGAGCCCGCTCATGGCGAGGCCGACCGTCGCCGCGCCGAACAAGAGGAAGCCGGCGCACAAGGGCCACTTGAGGTCCTTGGTCTTGGTGACGTACCAGCCCATGAACGGCGCGACGGGTACGAGGATGAGGAAGAAGGGGAGGAGCTTGGCGCTCGCCTCGAGAGAGCCCGGCGGGGCCCACAGCGCGTTGACCTCGGCAGGGTAGATGTTGTTGATCTCGTAAAAGATCGCTCCTTCAACGGCGACGAGGAAGAGGGCGAGCGGGAAGTTGCGGCCGTTCTCGAAGAGTTTGTGGTGGATGAAGCCGACCTTGGTGCCGCGCCACTCTGCGCGGGCAAGTTTGGTCAGCGTCGGTCAAGGGCTGAGGAGAGGAGAAGAGAGGGAGGAGAGGTAGGAGAATTTACCATAGAGGCCGCAGGCGACGAGACCGGCGCAGCCGATGGCGACAGGGACGTAGCTGTGCATGTCGTGCCACCCGTACCCGGGGTCGGACGACCAGGCGAGGCCCATGAGGAGCGGGACGAGCCCGCTGATGAGCAAGAAGTAACCGGTCCAGTCGAGGCTGCGGACCTTGCCCCACAGCGACAGGTTGCTGATCGTGCGAGGAGGCGGGAAGTAGAAGAACGCGAACCCCAGGAAGAGGACGCCGTTCATGATGAGGGCCGTGCGCCAGATCCACCTCCAGCCGTCGATCGGGTCGTTCTGGATGGCCGAGCCCATGCCGATCAAGGCGATGACCGACGCGAGACAGGCGACGCTGTCGACGACAGAAGAAGGGTGTCAGTGCATGACCTGGGAGAGGGGGAGGAGGAAGGAGGAGGAAGAGGGAGACGCACGTGTTGACGATGGTCTGGCTCCACGCTCTGTACACGCTCGGCATGATCTCGCCGGCGAGGCCGTACATGATGCCGCTGATGCCCATGCACATGCCGCCTGCGACCTGAGCTCCGATGAGCGCGTTCATCTGCGTGCGCGCCGCCTCGTCAGTACAAGGTCGACGGACCGAAAAAGGAGACTGCGCTCGACGCACGCTCGTCGCGGTCATGCCGACGATGGCGCTCGCGCAGAAGATGAGCCAGACGATGATGATGCTGCACGAGAGACGAGAGTCAGGTCGAGGCGAGGAGAGAGGAGAGAGCGGCGAGGGGACGCACAGGTACCGCCGGCCGTACACGTCTGAGATGATGGCGAAAATTGGGCCCGTGACGATGCTGGGCACGGATGCCGCCTGGATGATCCAGATGCGCTGCCCCGTCGACCCGCCGAGCGCACCGGCGATGCTGTACGCCGCCGCGGCCGGCGCAACCCTGCGAGGCGACGAGAAAAGCGTGAGCGCACGGTCCCTCGGGTCCGACTCAGAGTCTCGCGGGGAGAGCGTGACGCACGAGATGAAGGTGTTCTGCATCTGAGCGAGTGCGCAGAGCGCGACGATGAACCACGTGCGCCAGCTGATGCGCTCTGCGTGGTCGGGATCTTGGCCCATGGTGCCGAGGACCGTGACGGGCGTGTTGTCCTTGTCGACGGCGTACGAGTCGTGGACCATGGCGTGCTCGACGTGCTCGTGTGTGTGCTTGACCTCGGACATGTGCGCGACGAGGGATGCAGAGAGAGAAGGCGAGGAGGCGGTCGACGGAGCGGGGTAGGGACGAGGAGGCCCGCAGCCTCGATCGAGCGCTGGGCCGGTGGGCGAGGACGCGGGCCTGAGCGTCCACGTCGGCAATCGAGACCGCCCGCTCGACGACAGCTCGCCCGGTGGCATCTCGCCGGCCGGTGGGAGGCTCGAGAGGCCGGGGGAGAAAGCGCCGCGCCGAGAGCTGCGTGCACGACGCTGGGCGACTGCGTGCCCGTGCGCCCGGATGAGCGGTTTTGCCGGGCGGCCCGTGTCGAGCGTGCGAGCGCTCAAGCGGTGGTGGAAGGCAGAACAGCAGCGGCGAGCGTGGTCGCGTGTCGAGTCTGCGTGGGGGCGCCGCCGGGCGGCGGAGCCGGGTCTGAGCGGTTCGAGCTTCCCGCCCATTCTGTACGAGACGGCGACGCGTAGCAACGCTGCAGCAGTACGAACTCGCAAGGACGTCCGAGACTGTGAGCTAAAGGTCGTTGTCGAGGAGCCGCAGCTCGTCTTTCCCTTTTTCGACGAGCTCGTCGAATCGTCGCTCGTCGAGCTCGTCGCACCGCTCTCTGAGCATGCGCACTGGCATCGAGATCTCGCGCGAGTGCTTCGTCGACTCGAACCAGCCGAGAGGACCGCGAAAGGAGGCTCGGAAACCGTCGGCGCTTGCTCCGTCGACCGCTCTCCTCGGAAGCTGTCTCTCGAGTCGACGAGCGCGAAGACACGACCGAGAAAAGTGCGATTTCAGACGGCGGCGCTCTTGAGGTACGGGATGCCCGTGAGGCGGAACGCTCGCTCGCTCAGGACGGGCTTCTGCCTCGGCGTCCACGTGTTGAGCGGGTCGAGCTCGCCGTTGCGCCTGGGCGCGACGAACGCCTCGACGAACGGCTGGAACCCTTGCGGCCAGTGCGAGTGGCCCTTAGTGTTCTCAAACAGGCGCTTCTTCTGGGCGAGCTCTTCTTGCGTTGCCGTGTCGACGGGCGCCATGCAGGTGTAGACGACGAAGCGGACCGTGTCGCCCTTGGGCGCAGCGTTGTAGTGCGGCACTCGAGAGTCCCCTGCGGTACGACGACAAGGTCAGCTCGTCGACCTCGAGGTTTGGCCCACCAACAGAGAGAGAGTGTGTGACGCACACAGGATGAGGTCGCCCGGTCCAGCGTTGACCTTGACCCACTCGTAGCCACGGTCCTTGAGCCACTCGAGGCCGGTCTCCTTGAACAGGTACATCTGTGACGTGCGAGCGACGTCAGTCGAGGTCGAACCGGGACGAGGGAGTCGAGGCAAGAGAGAGAGAGAGAGAGAGAGAGACGCACCTCGTTCGTCCAGCGGAACTCGCGCTCCTCGTCGTAGAACGTCTCGTGGTACTCCTTCGAGATGTTGTGGCCGCCTTTGAGGACGACGAGGCCGCCGTCGTTGTCGCCGCACGGGTTGAGGTTGACGAGTCCTTGAACGCAGCGGAACCCGGGTCGCTCGGGATCTTGGTCCTGGTGCGCCCACGGCTTGAGCTCGGGGAGGTCGCGCCGGTTCGGGAACGACACGTTGACGGCGTCGAACGAGCAGATGAGGTCATCGGTGCCGAACAGCGTGGCGAACGCGTCAATGACGCCGGGCTCGGAGCGGACGCCCCAGGTGAAGCTCTGCGCGACGAGGACGAGCATATCAGGGACTGTGCGCACGGCGGCTTGAGGGGGGGAGGAGTGAGACGCACCTCGTGAGGAGCGCCGTACGCCTGAATGAGGCCCTTCTGGTGGATAACGGGGAGGCATTCCTCGCGGATAGTTGACGGGTCGTCGCGCTTGTAGCCAAGTCCAAAGTCCTCGAGCCATTGGTGGAACTCGCCTGCGGGGAGGTGGGCATTGGTCGGTCAGCAAGATTCTTGAGGAACAGGGGCCGGAGAAGGAGGAAAGATGGGAGGGGGCAGAGGGAGTGGGGGAGGGGGAGGGGAAGGAGAGGAGGGAGAGGGCGGGGACGCACCGACGTAGTACTGCGCGCGCTCGGGGGACAGGACGCCCTTGACGACCGCATAGCCGTCGCGCACGAGGTCGTCGCGGAAGTCGTTGTAGACAGTGGCTCCCGAGAAGTCGAGGCAGTCGAGGTCGGGCGTCTCGCGGACGACGTTGGGCGGGGTGGCGTGGACGGTCATGGTGGACGAGGTGATGCGGTTGCGGTGCGTGTGGAGCAGCGCTGTAGCTGGCACAACGGGAGCTACATGAGTGACGGAGCGAGGTGGTGGGATTCCCACTTGGTCCGCTCGCTCGCCAGCCGCGGTCGGCCACGCACGCGTCGAGCGCTCACAAGCTCGCCCGATCGATGGCGGGCGAGCTCGAGCCGGAAGCCGGGCTCACCGGTAGAGTGCTTGCGGGGTGGTGGGGAATGGCGGCCGGCGCGCAGGTGGGAGGTGGGGGCGACAGCGACGAGGCCGGGACTCGAGCGCTGGCTGCGTCGAACGCAAAGGCCTCACCGCTTCTCCTCGCCCAGAGCTCCTCCAGCTACTACACCACTCGCCGCTCAGAAGATGCCCTCGGCCGCAGACAAGCTCAACGTCATCGTCGTCGGCGGTGCGTCCGCCCGCTCTTGCGCATTCTCGTTCTCCTCGAGTCGAAGAGTGTTGCTGATCCGGCCCGTTCTTCCGTTGCGCAGCTGGCATTGCTGGCCTCGCCGCAGCTGTCGCACTGCGAGAGCACAACGTCGTCGTCCTCGAGCAGTCGCGCCTCAAGGTGAGTGCACGGGCCTCGCGGCTTCTCCGCTCGCTTCTCCCGACTCTCGCCCTCGACACTGACCGCCCGACTGCCGCTCTGCAGGAGGAAGTCGGCGCCGCCATTCACCTCGGTCCGAACGCGTCCAAGATCGCGCTCGAGTGGGGCCTCAGTCTTGAGCGTCTGAACAGCCCCGAGGTCAACTTTGTGCGTCTCTCGCTCCTCCTTCTGCAAGCGCGAGCGATTCAGCTCTCACGAGATCAAGCTCACAGACCGCTCTCGTCGCTCGCAGTACCACGAGATGTCGTCGGCCGGCCCGACGCACTTCAAGATCCCGATTCGCGCCCGCGAGGAGTTTGGCGCACCTTGGCTGCTCAACCACCGCGTCGACCTGCACGCCGAGCTCTTGCGCCTCGCGACCCGCGAGGACGATCAGACTGCTCCTGCAGTCGTCCGCACTGCGTCCCGGGTCGAGCGCATCGTGAGCCTCGTTTCCTCGTCCTCAGTCCCGCACGGACCCAATTGACGCCTTTCTTCCCCCAGGATCCCGCTTCTGGCACCGTCTACCTCGTGTCGGGTGACGTCCTGACCGCAGACGTCATCGTTGCCGCCGACGGCATCCACAGCGTCGCTCGCGCCGCCGTCGTCGGCAGCGACCTGTCCGCCAAGGCGTCGGGTCACAGTGCATACCGCGCCCTCGTGCGTCTCTCGCCGTCTCTCTCCTCGCTTTCTCCTCCCAGATATCGGACTGACCCTGGCGCACCTGTACAGATCCCTCGCGCCGCGTTCGAGGACCAGCCCGAGCTTCTGCGCTTTCTCGACGGCGACGCGACGGGGACCGGATTCTACACGTGGATGGCCCAGGACCGCCGACTCGTCGCGTACCCGTGCCGAGGAGGGACCCTGCTCAACATCGTCGCCATCGTCGTACGTCCCCTCTCCTCCTCGCGTGCGCTCGAGCCCCCTCGCCCGAACGACCTTCTTAACTCGCCCTCTTGCTCGCGATTACAGCCCGACCGCGAGGCCAAGGACAGCAAGGAGGCCTGGCACGCGGCAGGCAGCAAGGAAGAGCTCCTCGCCTCGTTCTCGGAATTCTGCGACGACGCCAAGGCGCTCCTGCAGTGCGTCCCTCTCCTTCCTTCCCATTCGACTCGAGCGACAAGCGCACTTGCGACGCCTATTGACGCGCTCCTCGCGCACTCGCAGACGCGTCGAGTCCTGCGCACTGTGGCAGCTGCGCGAGCAAGACCCGCTCGAGACGTGGACCAAGGACCGGGTGATCCTCATTGGCGACGCGGCGCACGCCATGCTTCCTCGTGCGTCTCTCGATCCCTCTCTCGCCTCGCCCTCTTCGTACGACGTTCGCTCACCTCTCGTCTCTCTTCCCCGACAGACCAAGGCCAAGGCGGCGGGCAGGCCATCGAGGACGCCGAGGCGCTCAAGGTCGTCCTGCCGCTCGGAACGCTCGCGACCTCGGTCCCTGAACGCCTCAAGATCGCGCAAGAGATCCGGTACGAGCGCGCGACCCTCATCCAGGGCTACTCGCGCAGCAAGGCGCTCGGCCCTCGACCAGGCGAGGAGATCGTCAACGCGCAGGAGTACGCTCACTACAACTTTGGCTACAACGGCGCTCGCGCGTGGGCCGAGTCGCACGGCATCGAGCTCTGAGGGGGACGTCTCCTTCTGTGTACTTCTGCTGTCGTGTCTCTCCCTGTATGTAATACAGACCGTCAACGCGCTCGTTCGCCTCGTCCTTTCCAGCTCGCGACCTTCTCAAGTCGAGGTACGCAGCGAGGCCTCTCAGCTGTCCACGGTGCTCTCAGAGAGCGCACACGAGCACGAGAGAGAGGAAAAATGCGTGTTCTGGTATGCAGCAGAGGAGGATAAAGCTGGCTCGAGCCTGCGAGCCGGTGTGCGACGCTCCGACCTTCTCCCTCTTCGCCCACCTCCTCCCGCCTCACCGCCGCCGCTCTGGCCCGTCACGTCGTGATGAGCCCAATGAGGCGAAAGTTGGTCTTGCGCGACGGGTGCGATGACTCGCTCGCGGCGAGGACCTCGAACGTGACGTCGTGCGGGCCGGGCGCGACGCCCGTAAAGACCTCGGTCGGGACGCCGATCGACCACCCGAGGTCCCAGTAGCCGGCGAGCTTGGCGGCCTTGGCCTTGTCGCCGTCGAGGTCTGCGCGAGAGGGCGAGGGAAAGGTGGAAGAGGATCGGCGGCGGCAGTGGTGGCGGCGAGGGGCAGGAGGAAAGGGACGAGTGCAAGGGTCAGTGGGGACGCGCAGGCGCAGCAGAAAGTAGAGAGAGAGAGAGACGTGGTGGACGCACAGACAGAGACGTCGCCGAGGTCGTAGAAGCGCGAGTGGAGCCAGTCGGCCATGACGGTCCCTCCCGCGCCGACCTCGACCCGGAACGTGACGCTCGCGCCCGGCGTGTCGGCGACGAGGTACTGCTTGTCGCGAGCCCACGCGAGCTTGGTCCACCCGCGGTTCTGGACCGGCTCGACCGTCGTCTTGGCGTTGCCGACCTGGATGCACCTCGGCGCCGGCAGGTCCCACCACTCGTCGGCCTTTTTGCGGCCCTTCTTGTCGAACGCGAACGGTGTAAAGAGGCTGCGCGCCGGGAGAGGCCGGACGGGCTCGGCCTTGCGCGACAGGAAGTCGAGCGACGGGTCGACGCGCTGGTCGTCGGCGACGGTGCCGGTCGGCAAGAGGCGCGGCGGCGTCGAGCGGATGCGGTCGTCGGCGATGGCGAGGAGCTCGGACTGGGCGACGCACGCCTGCTGCTCGAGGAACGAGATGAGGACGTCGGCGAGGAGCTCGTGGCCGCGCTCGTTCGGGTGATGCAGGTCGGGGAGGAACAGGTCGTCGATCTTGGTGACGGTCGAGTCGGGCGATGACGATAACGAGACGGCGTCGGAGGTCGAGGAAGGCGGTGGAGGAGGGGAGAGGCCGGCGACCGAGCCGAACAGGGCCTGCTTGACCGACAGGACGGGCACGTCGTAAAAGTGCGCGGCGGGCAGGTGGTCGTACTCGGCGTTGGACGCCATCGACGTCGTTGACGCGAGCAACAGGCTGGCCGCCTCGACCGCGATGACGGCCGGCTGGCTCGGCAGCGTGCGGAGCGTGCGCAGGAGCTTCTCAAAGTCGCGCGTCGCGCGCTCGCCGCCGGGCCACACGTCGTTGACGCCCGTCTCGAGGAGGACGAGGTCGGGCCCGAGGCCCCAGTCGACGTTCTTGCGCCGGAGCGTCATCTCCTCGTCGAAGCAGAAGGCGAAAAAGGCCGAGCCGGTTGCGCTCTTCGAGCCGTTGATGAGCTTGGTCGAGGGCCGCCGACGGCCCTTGCTCGCGCCCGCCTTGGCATTGGCCTTCTTCTTCTTCTTCTTCTTGGCCGTCTTGTGTTTGGGCGACAGGGCTCGCGCGACGAGGTGGGCCGTGTCGGCATGCGGCGGTGCGGGCGCGAGTGGTGCGTCCTCGGGCGGCGGCGGCGAGGTCGAGCGTCTCGCGCGCTCGCGCTGCTGGACGATCGGGAGGAGCGACTCGGCTTGAGGGACGAGGAGCGACGGCTGGTCGGGAACGAGGTCGCGGTCGCCCTCCATCGGGAGCATCTTCTGGAACCACCGGAGGACGTGGGCGTGCCAGCACGTCGTTTTCGGGTCGACGCCTCGGCAGTTGGACACTGTAGGGCGACAGAAAGGGTCAGAGGCTGAATCACCGGAGCCGTCGAGGAAGAGAGGAACAGAGGGACGCACCGGACCCTCCGAGAACGAGAATGCGAAACGGCTCCTCCCCCTCGGCCCGCTGCACGTCCTCCTCGGTGCCCTCCCTCGCACGCTTGGCCGCCCACAGGCTGCTGCGCATCGCGCGCTTGAGCACGCGGCGCACCTCGGCGCCCGTGCCGGCGAACAGGACCGAGTGGTCGAGGATGTCGGGGTGAAGGCCCGAGTGGTGCGGCGAGGCGTGCGCCGAGGACGAGGAGGAGGTTGACGAGGAGGAAGGGGAGGTGCCGCGGTACTTGGCGCAGACGGGCGCCGACGGGTGGCGCGCCGAGGCGGACGAGCAGTCGTCGCAGGTGAACGGGAGGAACGGCGGCGCGAGGCTCGTCCCTGGCCGCGGTGCGGGCAACTCGCCGCCATCCACCTCGTCCGTCTCGTCCTCGCCCTCACCGTCGATGTCCTCAACGGCTTCTTCTGCCGTGCCCGCCTCGTCCTCGTCTGCCACCTCGCCCGCCGCCGTGTCGTCGTCGTCCTCGCCGAGGACCCTGCCCGGCGCCGCGTGCTGCTCAATGTGCGCGTCAAAGTCGAAGTTGGGGTGCTGCGCGGCGTGCGCGGTGTTTTTGTTGTCGACGGACGAGGGAGGCGGTACTGAAGTCGTGCCCGCTCGGAGGAGGACGAGGCAGGCGACGACGGCGAGGGCAACAAGGGCGGGTGGCGCGATGGCTCGCAGACGGAGCCTGGAGAGTAGACTGCACGGTGGCGGGAGCAACAGGTCAGCTGGGGCGAGCTCGGAGGCGCCAGACGAGGCGGACCGACGCGGGAGGGAGATGAGAAGAGGGGACGCACCTTGAGCCCTTTGTCGGCGCCGAGTCGGACAGAAACGCGGTCGAGAGGGTGCGAGACCGCCGCCACGACTTGCTGTCACGGCGCGCCATGCATCAGCGCCCGGGCGAGAGAGAGGGACGAGGCGAGCTGGCGCCAAGCGCTCCACCGACGACGCGACGACGACGCGGGGAGGCGCAGGTGCTTCGGTCGATTTGCGTTTCGGCTCTTCGCTCTCCGTGTCGCTCTCTCCAGTCTCTCGCTCTCTCGCACGGCCACCCGGGAGGCAGAAAACTTTCGACATGATAGAACAACGGCCGCCGACTCGGAGTGCGCGCCTCGCCTGCGTCCGCATGAGGGCTGGCCAACGCGGTACAGACGGGAACACGCAGGAGGGAGAGAGAGAAAGAGGGAGGAGAACGACTGGGGACAGAGAGAGGCCGGAGGGCCGGGTGCGAGCGATGCGAGGTAGCTGGTCGAGGAGAGGGCGGAAGGAGGGGTGCGACGGACCGAGTCGACGCGAGGAGGGAGGGGTATGCTGCTGTACACGACGAGAGACTGACGGGACCACTGGCGACGGGTATCGGGCGGCGGGTCGTAAGGAAGAAGGGCGGAGGAAGTGGTGCGGGTCGACCTCGAGTGGACGCCGAAGGTCAGTGCAGGCCGATCTGGCGCGACTGATTGACCTGCGGGTTGGCAAAGAGGCCTGCGACGACGAAGACAGAGTCAGAGGCGGCTCGTGCTCCAGAGAGCGCACAGGTGCGAGAGAGGGGGAAGGGACGGACCCGCTCGTCTCCTGTCGGCGGCAAGTAGGCAGAGGGTCAGGACTGCTGCTCGAGAGATGCGAAAGGAAAGGTCGGACGCACGCCAGGACAATCTTGTTGATGGTCGCGAGCAGATCCGGCTTGCGCAGCGGCTTCGTGAGGTAGTCGTCTGCGAGCGAGGGGCCAAAGTCAGTCGGGCCTCGGGCCCGGGGTCCCTCACGACCGAGACGAGGGAAAGGTGGACGGACCCATGCCGGCCTGGATGCACTTCTCGCGGTCGCCGAGCATGGCGTGCGCCGTGAGGGCGACGATCGGCAGCCGCTCGAGGCCGTTCTCCTGCTCGAACTGGCGGATGATCTGGGTCGCCTCGACGCCGCCCATGATGGGCATCGACAGGTCCATGAGCACGACCTGAGGGGAGCAAGAGCGTCAGGGCAGAACGCCGATGAGAGCGAGAGAAGGTCAGACGCACGTCGTAGAAGTTCTTGCGGACGGCCTCGAGGGCGAGGGCGCCGTTCTCGACGACCTCGCTCTTGTGCCCGGCGCTCTCGAGGAACTTGAGCGCCACCTTCTGGTTGACGATGTCTGCGCATGAGGCGAGTCGATAGTCAGGCACGGCTCGAGGTGGGCTTGCGAGAGAGAAGGAGGACGCACTGTCCTCGGCGAGAAGGACCTTGAACGACGCGTCGCCGCCTCGCTCGGACGGTATCCGGTTGCTCGCCTCGAGCGCAGGCAGGAGCGCGTTGCACATGTCCTGAGCGTTGGTCGGCGACTCGACGCAGTTGGCGATGCCAAAGTCGAGGCAGTACTGCGAGCGAGAGGGTGCGGACGGAGAGTCAGTGCGGGCGCAAGGCGGCGACGACGACGACGAGGCGAGAGAGAAAAGGGGCAAGACGCACCTTGAGGTTGAGCTGCGGGATCTGGGGCGTGATGAGGACAAGCGGGATGTACCGCAGGTGCTCGACGTCGCGCAACCGCTCGACGATCGACAGTTGGTCGACGAGGACCGTGTCGAAGTACCCGTTCTGCGAGTGGTCGAGCATGCACGCTTCCTCGAGCGAGTCGACGACCGTGATCTCGAGTCCGAGCTGCTCGACGCTCTCGATGACGCTCGGGTCGTGGTGGAGCGTGTCGATGAAGAGGATGCACCGACCCGGGTGCGGGATGAGCGTCTTTTGCCGGACCTGGTCGAGGCTCCACTGGCCGATGCGGCACTGGATCGTAAAGTGGAACTGCGAACCGCGCCCAAACTGGGACGTGACCCACAGCTCGCCGCCCATGAGCTGGACGAGGCGCTTCGAGATGGTGAGGCCGAGCCCGGTGCCGCCGTACTTGCGCGTCGTCGAGCCGTCGGCCTGGGCAAACGTGTCAAAGATGAGGTTGAGCTTGTCGGGCTTGATGCCGATGCCCGTGTCGCTGATGCAGAACTCGAGCTGGTACGTGTTGTCCTCGAGGTCGGACGCGGCGAGGCGGCACGACAGGGCGACCTGGCCGCGTTGGGTGAACTTGATGGCGTTGCCGACGAGGTTGGTGATGACCTGGCGCAGGCGGAACGGGTCGCCGACGAGAAGGTCGGGGATGTCGCTCTCGACGGCGTACATGAGGTCGAGCCGGCTCTGGGTCGCCTTGACGGCGAGCGTCTTGAGGATGCCGAACACGGCCGAGCGCACGCTGAACGGGATCTGCTCGACCGTCATGCGGCCGGCCTCGATCTTGGATATGTCGAGGATGTCGTCGATGATGAGGAGGAGCGAGTTGGCGAGGTTGGACACGATCATGAGGTTCTCGCGCTGCTGCCGCGTCAGGTCCGTCTCGAGGGTGACGCCCGTCAGGCCGATGATGCCGTTCATGGGCGTGCGGATCTCGTGCGACATGTTGGCGAGGAACTCGGACTTGGACCGGTTGGCGAGCTCGGCCGCCTCGCGCGCCATCGTGTTCTTCTGGAGCGAGTCGCGCAGGGAAAACACCATCTTGTTGATCTTGGTCTTGAGCGAGTCCATCTCGCCGCTCGCCTCGACCGTGACGAACGAGCTAAAGTCGCCCTCGGTCGCGGCGGCCGAGATTTGCGCAAACGCGCGCACCTGCGACGTGAGGTTGGTCGCCATCGTGTTGACGTTGTTGGTGATGTCGTGCCAGGTGCCCTCGATGTTGTCGACCTTGGCCGTGACGCCCAGGTTGCCCTTGGTCCCGACCTCGTGCGCGACGCGGGTCACCTCGGACGCGAACGTGGCGAGCTGTGCGGCGGCGGCGTGTCAGGACCTGCTCGCTCGTGTCGTACACACACACAGAGAGAGAGAGGGACGCACTCGGTCGACCATCTCGTTGATCGTGACGACGAGCTGGAGGACCTCGCCGTTGGCCTCGATCATGACCTTCTGCGTCAGGTCGCCCTTTGCGACGGCCGTGGTCGCCTTGGCGATGGACCGCACCTGGTCGGTGAGGTTGCCGCACATCTGGTTGACCGAGTCGACGAGCGACTTCCACTCGCCCGAGACGTTGATCACGTACGCCTGGCCGCCGAGCTGGCCGTCGGTGCCGACCTCCTTGGCGACGCGCGTCACCTCGGCCGCGAACAGGCGCAGCGAGTCGACCATCGAGTTGACCGTGAGCTGTGTGCGTGCGAGAGGGAGAGAGAGAGCGCGAGTCAGGGTCGCGGCCTCTGGGCGAGGAGAGAAGGGAGGAGGTCCGGGCGCACCTTGAGGTCGAGCATCTCGCCCTTGACCTTGACGTCGATCTTGCGCGACAGGTCACCCTCGGCGACGGCTCGAGTCACGTCGGCGATCGAGCGGACCTGCTGCGTGAGGTTCATCGCCATCGTGTTGACCGACGACACGAGCGACTTCCACTCGCCCTGCGCGCCGTCGACGTTGGCCGTGCCGCCGAGCTCGCCCTCGGTACCGACCTCGAGCGCGACCCGGGTCACCTCGGCGGCGAACCGGCGCAACTGGGCGACCTGCGGGGCGGAAAGAGGCACGCGAGGTGAGCTCGTGGTCCTCGCCAAGTCGACCAGGGAGGAGAAACAGGGAGAAGCGGACGCACCATCGAGTTGACCGTCATCTTGAGCTCGCGGATCTCGCCCTGGGCGCCAATGTCGACCGTCTTGCTCAGGTCGCCGTCGGCGACCGCCTTGGTGACGCTCGCGATCTCGCGCACCTGGAGCGTCAGGTTTTGCGCCATGCGGTTGACCGAGTCGGTCTGGGCATGCATGTGCTCGTCAGTACAGGGAGACACAGAAGGAGGAAGACAGAGAGAGGAAGAGAGGGACGCACGAGCTCCTTCCAGGTCCCCTCGACGCCGTGCACGACGGCCTGGCCGCCGAGCTGCCCGTCCGTGCCGACCTCCTTGGCGACGCGCGTCACCTCGGACGAGAAGACGCGCAGGCGCGTCACCATCGAGTTGACCGTCTCCTTGAGCGTCGCCATCTCGCCCTGCACCTCGGCGTCGATCGTCTTGGACAGGCTGTGGCGCGGGCGAGCAGGGCGTCAATCTCGAGTTCGGGGAACAGGAGGAGGAGAGGGGAAGGGCGGAGGACGAGCGACGTACTCGCCCCGGGCGATGGCGGACGTGACGATGGCGATGGAGCGGATCTGGACCGTGAGCTGCGTCGCCATCGTGTTGACCGTCTCGGTCACTGCGTCGGGCACATCTACGTCAGTGCCTGCGCCTACACAGGGAGACAAGGAGGGAGAGAGAAAACCGTCGACGCACAGGTCTTCCACGTGCCCTCGACGCCCGTCACGACCGCCTGCCCGCCGAGCTGGCCCATGGTCCCGACGTCGAGCGAGACGCGCGTCACCTCGCTCGAGAACCGGCGCAGCTTGTACACCATGTCGTTGATCGTCTCCTTGAGCGTCGCCATCTCGCCCTCGACCTCGGCGTCGATCGTCTTGGTGAGGCTGCGGCGTGGGCAAGCCGGGGTCAGTCAATGCTGCGGATCTCAAGAGTAAACGAGAGAGGTGGACGCACTCGCCGCGAGCAATGGCCGACGTGACGATGGCGATGGACCTGCGAGCGTACCCGGGATCAATTCGTGTGCTCGAAGCGCAAGGAGGGGAGAGGGAGGTGGGGGACGCACCGGACCTCGCTGTCGTGCGTGAGCTGCGCACGCCGGAGCTCCTCGGCATGGAGCACCTTGAGCGCGAGGATCTGCTCCTCGCAGTTGCGGCGCACGGCGTCGACCGACTCGCCGTGCACGACGGGCCGCCGCGACGCGGCAGGCGCCACCGCCTCCTTGGGCGACGCCTGGCCCGCCTCGCCACCGTTTGGCGGCCCGAGCGAGGGCGGCGAGGGCGAGCTAGCGTCGCTCGGGGTCGCGGGCGCGCCTCCGTTGCTCGCCGGCGCGGGCGCAGGTGCGGGTGCGGGCACGCGCTCGGCGCCCTGGAGGCGGTCGGCGATGCGCGACGCGCACGCGACGATGGCGTCCGTCTCGGCAGGTTTGCCCGCCGCGGTCGGCGCAAACGTGGCGGGCGCGGCGTGCGACGCGGCGAGGTTGGCGAGGTGGGCGCCGACCGTGCCCGGGTCCGACTCGAGGGCGGTGAGGAGCGAGAGGAGGAAGGTCGGGAAGGTGTGGAGGGCTTGGGCGGACGCTGGTGGGGACGAGATGCCGTTGATGCTGGGAGGGGAGGAAGGTGCAGGGGGGGTGTCGAGCGTCGCGGAGGGCGCGGATCCGGGGTGCGATGAGGCGGAGGAGGACGAGGTGGGAAGGGCCGTCATGGCGGCGGACGGTGACGGGCTCGCGTACGAGTCGTAGCTGGTGGCCGGGGACGACGCTGCGCCGCTGAACGATACGCTCGACGCGCTCGAGGTGGACAGCACGGTCGCGAGCGGCGGTCGCTCCGGGCTTGAGGCGGCGACGGCGGCAGCGGGATTGGGCGCGGGCGCGTGTGGTCGGGGGTGCGCGGTCATTCACAGGTGCGGGGCGTCGTCGCTGATGCAGCTAGCGCTGTGTGGTGCGATGCCGTGGGTGTGGAGCTCGTCGAGTGGGGGGGAGGGAACAAGGACGAGAGATGAATGGTGCGGGCGTCTGGCGGTATTGGTGCTGGCGCGCAGTTATGGATGTGCGCCTGTGCAGCCCGGCGAACAGCTCGGCCTGGCAGAGCGAGGCGTGCGAGAGATGGAGCGACCACGTCGTCTCGCGCTCGCTCGACCTGGGCTCGCAACGACGGCGTCGACTGCAGGCGACCGCGCTTGCAGACGGGCTCTCGCGTGCGGCTCTCAATAGACACTCGCTTGCGACTGCACGTCCAGCAAGGCCGCTCCTCTCTCGTGTGCAAGCTCGCGCACGATGCGCAAGTCGATCTGGCAGGCGAAAGCACGTTCGAGAGCAGCGCGGCGCGTCCTAGAGCCGCGCGCTCCTGGTCCAGCGCAGCCGTGCGCGGCCAGAGAAGGTCCAGCGAGCAGAGCTGAGGAAGATCCCGTCGTCGCAGCGAGCGGGACTCTGCGACACCGGGAAGAGTGTGCGGGCCGACGGAAACAAGCTGTCTGGCGATGTCTCGTGACGGGCAGCGGCCGTTGCGTGCGACAAGGTCCCTCGGCACAGCTTGAGCAGTACAAGGGCCGGGCGACGCAAGCGAAGGAGAGCGGCTGAGAGCGAGCTGCGAGTGAGGTGGGCCGATTCGGCAAGGTTCACGCGGCTGCTTGTGCACTCTGCCTTGTGCACTCGCCCTTGCACCTTGTGCACTACGACCTCGCAGACCTCGAGCTCGGGGCCGCACAACCGCAGCTTCGACCGCCTCAGCTCCTCCTTCCCCTCCCTCCCGCCTCATCACCTCGACCGCCAGCTCGACCTCGACACGGCTACCGCCGCTGCCAGCGACACCTCGCCCTTTCACTCACTCCCGAAACACCGTCACGCCCGTCCCGCCGCGCCTCGACACCCGCCCACCGTCAAACTCTGCTCCCCGCCTCCTCGTCCTCGCACGCCGCCGCCCCAGCTCGCCCTCGCCTCGCCTCAGTACTTTTCGCAGCGTCGTGCAGCCGGTGCAATTCAGATTCAGCGCGGCGCACTCTCGGCTCTCATCGGCGAGGGAGGAGGCGAGGACGCTGCTGCAGAGCCGGGACGGCGAGCGAGGCGCAACTGAGCGAGCTGGCGCATCTTGTGCGCATGCGTCGCTCACGATCTCGAGAGATGGAGAGCGACAGCTTGACGAGAGCTTTCAGCGAGGCTTTGCGCGAGCGGGCCCAGTGAGCGAGCGGCGAGGACCACCACCAGCTTCCCTCGCTCTCTCGAGTCGGCGCAACTCGCTGGGCAGACGCGTGATCACTTGCATTGCATCGACTGTAACCATGCGCACTCCTCGACAGACCGACGAGACTCTCTTGTGAAGACAAAGGTCAGCTCTCCGCCGGCGAGCGATGGACGAGGGGGGAGGAGGGGGAGGAAGGGGGAGGCAGGCGCATGCCGAGCGGAGGCAGGGCCGTGTCGCTGCGAGAGTTGAGGTCGACTGGTCGCTGTGGAGCTGGTGGAAGCCCGATATGAGCTCGTCGAGGCGAGGTGACGAGGAGGCGAGGTGCGCAGGAGGGGCTGGAGGAGCGGCGGCGAGCTGAGACGGTGCTCTGGCGGCCGCGCAGTGCGCAGTGGTCGGTGCTGTACAGCGCAGCGCACAAGGCAGAGCGCACAAAGGCTAAGGCGCAAGGCTCGTTTGAAGCTTGCCGGTTTGGCGCGCCGCATGCGAGGCCTCCACCGAGCCCTCCGAATCCTCCCTCTTCCACTCTCCCCGTCGCCGTCCTTGCTGCGCGCACCCTACACCCGCACACACGGGCACTACACCTACAAGCGGCGAGCGAGCGCACACCCCGGCTGTCGCCCACTCAGGACCTTTCTCCATCCGCGACCGCCGCAACCTCGCTCGCCCACCGCGCAGCTCGCCACACGCAGTGAACGAGGGCATGGTCTACTACGTGCGTCCACTTTCTCACCCTATCGCCTGTGACTCGTGCGCGCTGCGTCCATGGCAGGACGAATGCGCGGGCGGCGAGTCCGTCGAACGAGGACTCGAGCTGACCTCTCTCGCCCTCACGCTCGCAGGTCTGCCCAAACTGCGGCCACCGGAGCGACGAGTACAAGCAGAGCATGGTCCACTGTGCGTCTCTGCCTCTTTCTTTCTCTCCGTGTGTGCTGCCTGTCTCGCGCCAGTGGTGCGGGTTGCGCGTGGGCTCGCGCGGAGGGAAGGTCGAGAGGTGGGGGTCACCCGACGCATCCGGGGCTCGCAGGGCTCGCACAAGGGCAGCTCCCTCCTGCGGCCACCTGCACACGCAAGCTTCGAGCCCCGTCCACCTACTGACCTCGCCCGCACGCGCAGACAACTCGTGCGACACGATCCGCGTCCGGCCGTTCAACTCGCCGCCGAGCAGCTCGTTCGTCCAGGGCTCCGAGCCCGACATCTTCCACCAGGGCGTCGCCGGCGTCACGTCGACCAACGGCGGCTGGAACGGCGGCGGCGCGCACGTCCAGGCGCAGCAGCACCCGCAACAGCAGCAGGCGACGTCGAGCCAGGCGCCGCCGCCGAGCGAGCAGGCGCGCAACGGCGAGCAGCAGGTCGCGCAACACGCGTCGGCGTGAGCGAGCCACAGGTGCGTCGTCTCGAGCTCCCCTCGTTCCGCAGAGCGATCACTCACCAGCCGTCGACGTCCTCCGAAGCAGCCTCTCGCCCTCCCCCCCAACCCCGATACCCTCGTCTGCCGCTCGCGCACCCGCACCACGTCACCTGCGCTCCGTCGCAGCACACGTCGTCGACTCGCCAGCACCGTCGCCATACCCTTATCCCGTCCGCCGACGCCGCCCGTCCTCCCTCCCTCCCTCGGGCGCAAGCCTCTCGTCGCGCCTTCCGCTTTCTCGGTCTACATTTTGGGTTCAAGGGTTTCCTCGACACCGTTTTCATTGTCGAGCCTCGTCGCCGCCGGCCGCCGCCGTCGCCGTCCTCCTCCTCGCGCGCGCCCTTCTGTCGCCGTCGCCTTTCGTCCACCCTTCACCGCATCTCTCGTCGTCGACCGCGGGCCGGTCGTCCTCGCCCTCCCTGTCTCCCCCCCCTCTCTATCTTTCGCCGTCGCCGTTTCCGCCCAAGGATTAATCGGGTCAACGCGCGCTTTCTTCAAGGTTTCCCCTCCCCCCTCCCTCGACCTCTCTCGACATCCCTCCTCGAGCGCACCCTCGCCTTTCCCCCTCTTCGTCCTCCTCGCCAGCACCCTTCTCGCCTTCAACGGGCACACGGTCGAGCTGCGGCAGCTGGAGCAGGAGGAGTTGGGCGGTCGGGCGCGCACACGGAGCGAGTCGAGGAGCAGAGGGACGCGGCGGCGGGGCGTGGTTCTCTCTCCTTCGCATGGTTCTCGGGTCGCACTCGCAATACACGCCGCGAGGCTCAGCATGGCTTGTTGCGACGACGAGCGAGCGAGACAGAGAGGAAGAGAGCTCGGGTCGCTTGTCCCCACACGTCCGCGCGAGCGAACCGACGACCCGGCACTGCAGCGATGGCGCCGCTCTCCCTCTTCCTCTCGCACCCCGCTCACCGCACCAGCTGCACACCACGACCATGAGCTCCAGCGACGCCATCCTGCTCGAGATCCGCGCGCCCTACGCCATCATCACGCTCGTGCGTCCCTCTCTCTCTCCCCACCGCCGAGGCTGCCGGCCGGTCGGCTCAGCAGCCGGTCTCTCCGACGAGCTGACGTCGCCTAGCCCCGGACGCGCAGAACCAGCCCAAGAAGAAGAACGCGCTCGATGCGACCCTGTGTGCGTCGTCGCGCTCTCGGACGAGAGCGAGCGAGTCGGGCTCACCTTGTCCTCCTCCTCGCGCGCAGACAAGCGGTTGTCCGCCCTCCTTCAGGTGCGCCCCGCCTCTCGTTCCCCCTCCTGGACCGCAAAGCTGACCCCGCTCTGGTGCCCGCAGGAAATCGACGCCAAGCCCGAGGTCTTTGTCACGGTCCTGACCGGCAAGGGCGACTTCTTCTCCGTCCGTCCTCTCCTCTCTCGCTTCCTCGTACCCGCCTCGTGGCCGAGCTGACCCGCTCCCTCGCGTCGCCGACAGGCTGGAGCCGACGTCAAGTCGACGCGCGAGTCGCTCGGAGGCGCCAATGCTCGGGTGCGTCGCGCGCCCTCGTCCTCTGGAGGCACAGGAGGAGGAGGTCCGTTCGCTGACCTTTCTCTCCCTCGGCCCGCAGGTCACCTCGCTCGAGCGCCTCAGCGGCTCGAACCTCGACCTCACTCGCTGTGCGTCCCTCGAGCGCGTCGACGAGCAAAGAGGAGAGGAAACTGACCGCTCGTGCGCCCCCCCGCCAACAGCGTTCTACCGTCACTCGAAGATCCTCGTCGCCGGCTTGAACGGACCCGCCATCGGTCTCTCTGCGGGTACGTCCGCCTCCCTCCTCCTCCTGTCAGGAGCCCGTCACTGACCCAGCCTCGTCGCAGCTCTCCTCGGCGTGCGTCGCGCCCCATCTCGCTCCTCCCGCCGCCGACGCGCCACTGACCCTTGCCCGACGCCCCGCAGCACTTTGACTTTGTGTACGCCGTCCCGACGGCCTACTTCCTGACGCCCTTCAGCGCCATCTCGCTCGTGTGCGAGGGCGGCGCGAGCCAGGCGCTCGTGCAGCGCATGGGCCTCGGCAAGGCCAACGAGTTGCGTCTCCCTTTCCCTCCTCGTCCATCACCCTCACTTCTTTTCCATCCACCTCTCCCCGTCGCTCTCCCCTCGCTCCCCCTGTGAGACTCGTCGGACCGGCACTGACCGCTCCCGGAACGACCTCGCGCGCGCAGGGCCCTCCTATTCGGCAAGAAGCTCTCGGTCCAGGAGCTCCTCCCGAGCGGCTTCATCAACGGGCTCATCGACGTCAAGGGCGACTCGAACGAGTTCCGCACCGAGCTGTTCAAGCTCCTCGACCGGCAGCTCGACGGGCTCCAGCTTGACGCGGTACGTCCCTCTGTCTCCCTCGTCCCTCTCTCTCTCTCTTTCTGCGATGCGCATGATCCACTGACACCTGGACGACCAAGCGCAGATCGTCAAGTCCAAGGCCCTCATCCGCGCCGCGCTCCCGGACCCCGAGCCGACGTGCGTCCACCTCTTTCCCTCTCTCTCTCTCTCTCTCCCTCTCTGCTCTCTCTCCCGCTCGAGCGCACCTGACCTCGCGCTCTCCCGCACCACACAGTAACGTCCGCGAGGTGTTTGCCGGCGCCGAGCGCTTCGCGACGGGCAAGCCGCAGGAGCAGTTTGCAAAGCTCGCGAACAAGCAAATGCGCCACAAGCTCTAGAGTCCTCTCTCTCCCTCTCTCTCTGTCTCTCTCTGTTTTGGTTTCTCGTTGGTTCTCGTTTTGAAGCAGTATGTGGAACTCAAGGCGTCTATTTTGCAAGCGGGGCTCGTGCTCTCGGCGAGAGGGAGAGCGAGAGAGAACAAGGGGGCGGGCGAGAGGGGGGTACAGAGAGCGCTCGGGCCCGAGCGACGTGCGACAGGGAGAGGCCGAGGTGACGAAAGCGAGAGAGGTAGAGAGAGAGAGAGAGAGAGGGAGCGAGGGAGAGGTCAGACGGTCGGGCCCCACCGACTATCGGTCGGCTCGCCGCCGTGCGCCTCGAGCCCGAACCGCTGCTTGACGAGCGCGACCGCCTCGGGGTCGCCCGTGTTCTGCGCGCACGTGCCGGTATATGAGCGTGAGCGCTGCCAAGCTTCGCGACTCGCAGCAGCACGGCGGCGCCGACGGAACGGCGGCAGGTCGGCCTCGCCGCGCAGGAGAGGAGAGAGGCAACAGCGGCCCGACGACGCACCTTGGTGAGCTCGTCCGAGATCTTGACGCATGGCTGGCCCGCGATCGAGTAGAGCTGCGGGGTGTCGCGAGAGAGTGTGTCAGGCGGGTTCCTCCTCGTCTCGAAGGAGAGAGACAGGCAGAGACGGCGAGGCGAGGCGCACCTTGATGACCATGTTGAGCTGCGGTCGCGTGCATCCAGAGCGAGTCAGTGCCCCTCGCTCGAGAAGAGAGAAGCGCCAACATAGAGAAGGATGACGACGCACCGCCTTGGAGCTCTCGCCCTCGGTGCGCACGGGCCCTGCGCCCGGCTCGTCCTGCAAGACAGGCTCGTCGACGCGGCGGAAGTCTGCGCGCGAGCGGGTTTTGGGCGGGTCAGAGGTGGCGCACTGTGAGTGGCCGAGACGAGAGAGAGGCGGGAGAGAGAGAGAGGCGGGAGAGAGAGAGAGAGCGAGAACGAGAGGGAGGCAGGGGAGAGGGAGAGAGAAAGAAGAGGGGGGCTCACCGTTCGTGAGGTGGGTCCCGACGCCAAACGAGGAGCCGATCCCAGCCGCGTCGGCCGCCTTCTTGAGCTTGATGCACCGCTCGACGTCGAGCGAGTCGGAGAAGACGACGACCTCTGCGCGCCGCGCCAAAACACGAGCTCGAGTCAGCTCGCCGCTCACGCACGACAACGGCCCGCTCAAAACGACAGAGGGAGAGAGAGAGAGAGTGAGAGCGGCAGGCGACGCACTCTTTGCCGGGTCGGCCCCAACCCTCTCGAACGCCTCCTTTGCGACCGGGATAAACTTGAGCGGGTCGCCCGAGTCCTGCCGGAGGCCCTTCCACCGCCGCGCGCGCTCCGGGTTGGCGACAAAGTCGTCGAAGAAGGGCTTGGTCGTGAACGTGTCGGTGAGGGCGATGCCGAGCGAGCCGTCGGGGTAGACCTGCGCGGTGGGGGCGGGGCGGGGCGGGGCCGGGAGAAGAGGGAC